GTATATAAACAAATTTTACGTAGTAGACATTAAAACTATTTCAAAGTTTCCACAAGGTTGACAGAACGCTGGTCTAGGGAAACGTTACAGCATAAGAAATGAATTTCTTCATCTTCTCAGTCTGTGAAGGTCCCTTGTTGGAAAGTAAGCATTCTCCAGATTCTTGAAGAGGAATGGGCCACGAACATACAGGTCTGACCCAATACGTCTTTCATAGGAGGTGGATGTGATATGCTAAGTCGATCATATTCCTTTTCGATTCATGATCGCCCAGGGGTATTTGCACGTAAGCGAATGTAAAAAACCTAACTGGAATTCGAACACGTCCCACTCATTTCTCCTTCCGAACTTATAACACCTGGTACTCCCAGGTGATCATACATCTAGGTACTCCCCAGGTTCAATTTTGCTTAACTTTTATATCCATAAGCCTAGATAAATGAATTTAGTTATATTAAAAATTTAATTAAAAAAAAAGAAAAGAAAATGGAAACATCATTAGATTGAATTTATTTTTAAATTCCTGTTTTAATAAATAAAACATAAAAATGGAGTTCCATCTCGAAAGCATCTTCCCAAGAAGAGCTATTTTGTGAAACAGACTCCCGCGTTGATGCTTCCCAAAATAATACAATCTTCAAGTCAGTTGTTATCTATCCACCATTTGCTCGTAATCTTCACATCCTACTTCTTCCTCTTACGTTCTTCATTTTGTGTGACTCTTGGGCATTGTATTGGGTGAAGTTTTGAATATTCCCGAAAGTATCATTTCGACTAAAAAATATATTTACGGAGATAAATTAAATATTAGAATTATTTGCATCACGCTGCTGCGTGTGGAAATCGTCACAGTATTTAGTATTGTTGAAGTTATCGCTATCAATTTTTGTTGAGATTTAAAAATTCTACACATTATTTAATTTCACAAACCAATCAGTGAAACTTGAATAAGCTGATTTGTTTGGAAAAATGCTTTGACAAAAACCCTACTTCGTGTTTCAATAATTTCTCTATTTTAATTTAATTTTATAGAACTTCATGGTAAACAATTATTTCTAAGAATATTTTTTTTCTTTTTGTTGTGGTAGGATCCACCTAATTTACATAGTGGAGTACCGACCATATAAATATGGTTGGTACAGGGAAGACGAGGGGAGGAATCAAGAGATTCAATCCAGAGACTCTGCCCGACTGCGACTAAGTCAACACATTCTCCAGGAACGGTCTTCCCAAGAATATACAAAAGACTATATGTAAATATTGTGTACACTTTCTTGTTTCAATACATTTTGTTCTAAGTACATTTTGTGTTGTATTATTATTCCATGCATTAGTCAAGTTTCAACACTTTTTCCTTTTTAACAGCGAAGATAAACATTATTAGGATTTCTTACTCTTGAGTACGCACCATACACCTGGCCATGCATAAATATTTCTTTCTGGGATAAAATTGCAACATTTTGAAGCGTTTGACCTTGTGATTTGTTTATAGTTCTCGCAAACGCAGGGTGGACTTGAAACTGAATTCCAGTATATATAAAACTTTAAAAGATAAGCAAAATCAATATTACATTCTTGTTAAATAAGTATCTGGTATGTTAATTATTAAATTGATTTTAGAATAGTGGGAGTATTCTATATGATATATAACAAAGCTTTTAATTTTTTTCAAAAATATTAATGACAATTTATTGTACTAAGCTACGCACCCGAGGAAAACCAACTGTATTTGTACCCACTTAACTGTTTGCAATTCTGCACAAAATTTGCTTTTGATTAGTCAATGTATGGCTAATTTAGAGTGTTTGACGAACGGACGGACTCACAAAAATCACAGAATTTTATATATAAATTGTTTTATCGTTATATATATATATATATATATCACATCTCTTCATAACGTAAGCGATCATGGATCTCCACAAATTCTATTATTATAATATCAGTGGCCTTCTTCAAGGTTTCGAATTCAGATTGATTCTTCTCGTATATGCCACACAAGGATTAGTGTGTCCTGTCTACTCTGCTATTTAACCCATAGCTGTGTGGAGAATAGATGCGCTCATGCATTTCCCAAGCGTATGTATATGAAGTTGAACGTAATGGAATTGCTGGGATTCGAACTTGATTAAATATCTCCATTTTCTATGCTGATAACAATTTCAATGATTGCACGTTCTATCTTTTTATAAACGTCCTTAGAAATGTTTTGATCAAAACAATAAGGGTGAGAATATTACTCCAATTAACCCATCAAATAATGACAATAATAAGCCTCAGAATTTCAGACCAATATTAAAGTACCCAGGTTTAGACCAATATTAAAGTACCCAGGTTTATCCCAGAATGTTTATAAAAAGTGAAGATAATGATCAAGTTACCAAGATCCTCCTTTGGAATTGTTCTGTGAGGAGAAGTGTGTGTGTGTTTTTGTTTTTCAGTGATAAAAGGAATTGCGCAACCATTACTCTGCGAAAGTCCTCAAGTCAGAAACATGCAAGATTTTGAGGGATTTTTCAATAACAATAGATAAGAAACTGGAACGCCACAAACCAGACATAATGTTTGAAGATAAAATAGAAAAAGGAAAGGTTAATCATTGGCCTATTTTGTCCTCTGGATACAAGAATAAAGCAAAAAGAAGATAAATTAATCAACTATGACCCATTGAATCTTGAACTCGAAAAAAAAACATTGGAAGTTTAAATTCTCAAAACCTTGGAAGTTGAAGACTGTCACTAGTTATCATTTGTACATTTGGTACGGTGACTGACAGAATGGAGATATTTATAAAAGCAAATTAGATTTAATTACCCAGTAGAACTGTGACAGAAAGGAAATCTAATGCTAACGGATGTGATGAACACTTAGTGTCAGAAGAAAATTACATGGTACTTCTTCCAGGCTATCCATGCATTTATCATCAAATATTAAAATCTTAGCTGAGAAAAAAAAAACTGAAATAATAAAAGCAATGATAATATAGACAGAGTGGACATTGCAATCAATACTGTCAATTTCAAATTTCAAGAGATTTTCAAGTCATGTGGCACGTAATCTGGACAACGCTGGAGGCGTGAAACTGTCAGTAATTGATTCCTATGTCCACACTGCAAACTGAATCTTCAATATTGACCACTCTTAACACTCAGGCCTGAGGATTGTCCTCAACCATGAAACAGGATTGGCGGTACCCGCTGTTGACCTCTGTATCCACTTTTATATTTGCACACGTTCTATCCCAGATATTGATCACTTTTACCCATAAATATAGCATACCTAAAATATATATATTTTATCATGCATCATATATATATATATATATATGTATATATATAGGATTGGTGTATACGGAATAGATTCCAATAACCAACAAATACTATTCTTAAAAGAGTGTTCAATACAGAGTAGAGCAAATATAATTATTTATTTGAAAATTATAACGCAAATATGTTATAAAATCACTACAAAAATAGCCATTTTGTTTCAACACTTCTGGTGTCTTATCAAGTGATGGTGTTGAATATAGGATAAAGGGTTTTCAAAGGTTCAAATCAATCAAACATCCCTCCCTTTTAAAACCCTTTATTCGATATTCAACACATCACTTGATAAGATACCAAAAGTGTTGAAACAAAATGGTTATTTTTGTAGTGATTTTATAACATATTTATGTTATAATTTTCAATAAATAATTATATATATATATATATATATATATTACATTCAGAGCATGTAGAATCAACACTACATCAATGCATTCATGTTTCAATGTTTGTAACAAATCTCATCAGGCGTAAGTAAATGACTTATTAGTACAATTATTAGGATTTAATTACGTACAACATTTTTCCCGCGAAAAATAAAGAAAAGGAAAGGTGCAAGAAAGAAAGACAAAAGATATTACCTGATTTTCCAGAGAAATGAAGAAGATGAAAAGAAACTATAAAAAGAACGTATAGAAATGTAATGTAGCAAGACTTGTTATGTTTAGAATCGGTTTAACCACTCAGAATAAGATATCATGAACAGCCGATTTAAAATTACAACGGATACAAACGTTATACGTGAAACAAAATCATCGCTATTTCTATAAGTAACGTTAGTAAAAGAGGAAAGGTGATGATACCAGCGATTTTTTAAAGCATTCTTGGTACTGCCAATATAAAACTTTTCAACCCTCGGATTTTCAACTGATGAGATGCGTTACACATATATAAACATGAATGCGTTGGTGTCGCGTTGATTCTACGTGTTCTGAATGTAATATAAGAAATATTGTTCTACTATTTGATTTTATTGAACCCTATTTTAAATTAATGTTATGAACGTTGGAATTCATATTCCATTCGTTTTCATTTCATACATATATATATATATATATATATATATATATATATATATATATATATATATATATATATATATATATATATGTGTGTGTGTGTGTGTGTGTGTGTGTGTGTGTGTACATACATAACTTCCAAACTGGGGGTCAAAACTCCATAAAAATGTAAAAAGAAGTTTTTATAATAAAATAACAACAATACATTTTTGGAAAAGACATATCATCAGCATTGCATCTAACTCTCAACAAAAAAATTTAAAAAAAAAAAAATACATCAATAAAACCTGATCTCCTTCGAACTGATTTCTTGCAAAGAATACATATTCTATTCATACGAACCTATCCTAAAAATTTTGTCGGCATTAAATAACCCATTGGGGTTGATACGCAGTAAAACGAAATAAACTAACCAGGCCAAGCCAAACCAGGTAAAGTGAAAAATTATCCGTACTCTTATATAAAGGTATGTTATGGTGAATGTTGGGATATTTTTTACTTAGCCTCATATATATATATATATGTGTGTGTATGTGTGTGTGTGTGTGTGTGTGTGTGTGTGTGTGTGTGTGTGTGTGTGTGTGTGTGTGTGTGTGTGTGTGTGTGTTCATCATTTATGCATTTTAAGATACATATACTTAGGGCCCTGGCTTACGAGCATATAGCGTTGGAACACCGATTCCCGTACGATCACAGAAGTAAAGCAACGTCTAGCCTGGTCAGTACCTAGATAGGTGACGACATGGGAATAACAAGTGCTGTAAGTTTGGCTGTGCGGGTGGTGTAATGGATAATGGCACGGACTTGTTAATTGAAGAGTCGAGTTCCAATTTCAGTTGGATTATATTATATTCGCTTTCGCGAAAATTCGCTTGGGAATGGTTTGAATCCTCCTCTTCCTTTGCCAGTTAATTATTAAGACTTGTTATTATCTAAAAAAATAAATACATTCTTACAACCTAAAAATATGTTCTGGCTTAAATAATCTGCAAAAGGGTTGATAAACAGTGAAAAATGAATCACTCAATCTTAAGGGCTGTGAGGTAAAAACTTTTTTCTATTTCAGATTACGTTTTGAACCTGGAAACAAATAGTAAGACTGTGTAAATGTTTTTGTCACTGCTTTCCTTTTCTTCATCAAACCTAAGGGCTCTGAGGTAAAACCCTATGATTATTTTTATTTTTTGGGATGTTGTGACAACAGAAATGGGCTAAATCGTTTTTGTTAGTGGGTTTGTGGTAAATTTTAAAATTTAATTGGTTATTGTTACGTATTAATAAAACGTCGAGGAAAGGTAGATATCTTTTTCATTAGATTTTAAAGTTGAACAAAATTTAAATTTAAAAACGATTTAATCCATTTCTATTCCCACCACATCCCTCAAAAATGAAATCAGAAACAATCCTAGGATTTTACCTCAGAAAACTCAGGTTATGTAGCCGAGAATTCCAAAGATGAAAAAAATACATTGAAAAAATATTTATACAGCCTTACCATTTGTTTCTAGTGACGCGAAGAGATCTGAAAAAGTCTTTTCGGTCAGACAGTTTTTGGAAACTTTTTTTCTTTATTCAATGTGCGTTGAGGGGGCAACTCGTCACGAATTTAATAGACTTATGACTTATTTTCGTATCAAATTATCAAACAAAAATAAAACTGGAATGAATGAAAAACACGTTTATGTTTGGTTAAATCAAAAGGAAATCTTTGCGGAAGAGACAATTTCTTTGTCCAAGGTTCACATCTTAGGGATTAATATGACTTTATTTTGGACATTTACCCAATTAAAATAAAACTAGAAAGACATTATGCACTCAAAGTAGTAGCCATTTCATTTATTCAAATTTTCTATATTTATACGTTAGATAATTGGTATTTTAAAATAAACTCCGTCGTCGATTTTGTTCCGTACGAGACTTTATTCTCTGACTCTTTCTTCGTCCCTGTCTTTCATTTTATTCAGTGCGATATAGTTCAGTGTTTGTATCTTCTTTCCGCCCTGTCTTTAATTTTGACCCCGTACGACACAGTCTACTCTTTGTCTCTTTCTTCGTCCCTGTGCATGCGTAAATCCTCTCAGGGTTTCGCTATCCCCCTCATATTTTCGATCATCCTCTCTTCAAATTGCCAAATTTTTAACCTCCACTCGACATCGTTCCATCACTCACTCACTCACACACTCACTCACTCACAGCTTTTGTTTTTTATTTATCTCGTTTTTCGTTTTCTTCCTTTTTCTTTTCCTTCTCTTATTTTCTCACTTTCTTCATCTCTCTCCCCTCTCTCCCTCTCTCTCCTTCACACTCTCTCCCTCCTTCTCTCTCCTTCCCCCTCTCTCCATCCCACGCTATCTCTCCCTCTCTCTCTCTCTCTCTCTCTCTCTCTCTAACACGTTATCAACTTAAATGACTGTCTTCAGAAAAGGTCATTCCTTGATGTATCACCTTACGATTACTTTCTGTATGCTTTGGGAAAATAGAGACACGCACTTGACAAAACCAAGATGTACTGGCGAACACGAAATTAGAACTAGGCTGTTACTACCCCCAGCCTGCATGAAAAATATCTCAAACAAGCAGGCGGTTGCTTCATTTTTTTTTTTTTACAATGAGGTTAACTCTGTACAAGATCCGAGAGCCACTCGAGGTAGAGGGTGACAGTGTAAGAGGAACAGTTTATGCGGATATGTGGGAAAGATAACTGTTAACCCTATACATGAACAGGTTAAGATTATAGTGATCGGGAAAGCATCCACTTGTGAGACGGTCCCACAATGCAGTGGTTCGAGGGAAGAAGCTGCTTGAGGGGAGTTTACTTCTCAACAATGGAATACGGAGAGAATGAGTGTGGTTTGCTACAATCTGCGTAGCATGGTGGGTCCTAGCCGTGAAGGATAGAAGTAATAATGTTAAAAATTATGTAATTATCTTATAAAATATATGAAAAAATAAGAATTTTCTTTAATGATCGCTTCATGAAAAACTGACATCGACAAAAGAAGATATGACAACTTCAAAGCGAAAATCGAAGTCACAATCACCCATAATTTTCTCAATCATAATTTTCTTCTTCTTTTTCTTCTTCTTCTTCTTCTTCTTCTTCTTCTTCTTCTTCTTCTCCTCCTCCTCCTCCTTCTTCTTCTTCTTCTCCTCCTCCTTCTTCTTCTTCTTCTTCTTCTTTAATTATATTTCCATCATAATTTATTCTCCATCTAGAATGTTTTAATTGGAATTTCGATTATTCGTTGACGATCAAATGTGAAAAAAGTCGACGTGATTTGTAAAAATAAAATCAATATTGATTCATTTTCTTATCGGAAATCAGATTTCTCGCGTCAAGTGATGAATGTATGAAAGGCACTAACGCCTACGTGTTCAGTTTAAATCGTCATATTTGATGGAATAAGTTGGGCATCGCTGATTTCATGCAAAAAGTTTCTCAGGGATTTTTTTTTTCTTTTTGCATTCAAACTAAGTGTTGCGCCCAACAAAACACCCTTTAAATTTCCATACACACAAATAGGATGATACATTTACATACACAGAAAAATATACATACATGTGTGATCAATAGCTAGCTAGCTAGATAGATAGATAGATAGATAGATAGATAGATAATGAAAAGACTGGAATAGATAGATAGATAGATAGATAGATAGATAGATAGATAGATAGATAGATAGATAATGAAAAGACTGGAATAGATAGATAGATAGATAGATAGATAGATAGATAGATAGATAGATAGATAGTGCTATGGTCCGTTTCCTTGTACCACGGTGATAGTCCAAGGTAGAACCAATAAAGAAGAACTCGAACACAGGTATGGAATAACACAGATATATTACAAACAGAAATATCTACAGAGAAGTAGAAGTGTTAGTATGAACAATCAGGTTTAGTAGAGAGAACAATGTAGTCTCGACCCGTATCACTATTCCAATGTCTTGCAGTAATTGTCTGAACGCGACTCTGTTTCGGACTGCCTCTGATACAACTCTTGACTCGATTTGAACTACTGACGATATTCAGTCACCCCCACCCCACCCCACGAGGGCGTCATGTGACACAAGGCCTTTTTAACGTGGGTTCTCCGAGCCCGTAGGCTCGGCCAAAAATATGCCTATTGAACCCGTATAAACGGGTTCAGGGTCGGTTTAACTCCTCGAAAGAGAATCCGCCCTTCGGCGTAGCCTCTCTCGGGTTCCTCCCCGCCCGACGGCAGAGAGTTCAACCGATTTGTCGTTCAAGAGGTGAGCGACTGACGATATTCAGTCACCCCCCCCCCCACAAGGGCGTCATGTGACACAAGGCCTTTTTAACGTGGGGTCTCCGAGCCCGTGGGCTCGGCAAAAAATGCCCATTGAACCCGTATAAACGGGTTCAGGGTCGGTTTAACTCTTCAAAAGAGTATCCGCCCTTCAGCGTAGCCTCTTTCGAGTTCATACCCGCCCGACGGCAGAGAGTTCAACCGATTTATCGTTCAAGAGGTGAGCGACTGACGATATTCAGTCACCCCACCACGAGGGTGTCATGTGACACAAGGCCTTTTTAACGTGGGGTCTCCGAGCCCGTGGGCTCGGCCAAAAATATGCCCATTGAAACTAATTCAGTTGCTTTTTTCCAGATTTTAAGTTAAATCGTTAAGCTATTTTGATACCATTTTGTAATAAGAATCACTGGAAAACACTTTGAGTTATTCAGCTGGAAGGAGAACAGGTTGAAATTCTTTTTGTGTAAGCCCTACTATATTCTCCCAGCTGAGCAATACTGAGAGGAAAAAGATTATTCAGGCATTCAACAATGACACCAACATTAATGCTCTGGCTTTCATCTTTCATTCAAGAACCATTAAGAGAATGGTGAATAATTTTAAAAGAGGGAATAGTAGAGAGGAAAACTGGGCCAGGAGGTCAACACAGGAAGAGGAATCATTATTTCAACTTAGAGCTAAAGAGATCAATTAGAAAATATCCAATTCCATGTCCATGAGACTTTTGCAACGTGAAAGAGGAGGTTCAGCTATTGTAACCCAAAGTGCAATGAAAAAAAGACTTGAAAATGTAATCGTATATGATACGTGTGTGGTACCATGTTACAGCAGGACAGAATGTTAGAAGGTTAGAGAGAGCAAAGATCATCTTGAATAAGTTAGAAAAATGATCCTGGAATAATAACTATGTATATTTGAATTTTATTTCAATCCTTTATGAGCTGATCCTTAGCTAATATTATTAATTAATGATGAACATGTCATTTTCGTTTATGATCGATTTCATTATGATTCTTCTGTTAAGCTTGGAGAATGATTATACATTCTTATTGCTCAAAATAGAGTACAGTAGTGTTATAAAAACCCTGGAAACTGCCACTAAGATATCTTTAATCATTTGTAAGATACAACGGTTCAAAATTTATTCTAACAATTGGACTATTTTGCTGTTACAGGATTTGGATAGTTTTGCTGTTACATTCGGCACGTATATATATTTAAATATATCCTAAATCTAGAAACAAAACGTCTTTATTCTTCATCCTTGTTTCTTCATCTGTGTGCTGTGACCCTTCAGGACGTCGGCCATCATAGCTCTCCACAACTTCCTATCCTTTTGTAGTCTTGCAGCTCAGACCAGACACCAGGCTCGTTCTCCGAGTGCAGCTTCTTCCAGTCAAAGGCTTGTGGCTTAAAACATAAATTTTTGGTCAGATCTTTACCCATGAAATAAAACCATAAAATGATTTTACGCATTTTTTTTCAGGTTGT